GCCCAGGCTGAGGACCTGCGCTCCCTCGGAGGACCCCTGTGCGCCATAATTATGGAGTGCGAAGAATGAGGGGCCCAGGCCTGCGGCAGGAGTGGTGGGCGGGGAGCCCCAGGGCTTGGCTCTTCGGAAGCCTCTGCTGCTGGGGGGGCCCGGGGCGTACCCCTGAGGCAGAAGAAGCTGCAGGTGGGCCCAAGCAGGGCGTTGGGACAGCAGGGAGGGTCACTTGCCCAGCCCGCGTCCCTGAGCCCAGAGTGGACGCCGCCTGCCCTCGCCCTCTCTGGGCTGCTGAACACTGCAGTCGCCCAGTGTGCACAGGCCCGGGCTGGCCCTAGTGTGGCGGGGGAGGGGCGGGGCAGTGGCGACCCCGGCCCAGCTCCAGTCTCAGCCATGTCAGAGGCGGCCGTCCAGGGCTGCCCAGCGAGTCCAGGCCCAGGCCAGGCCTGCCCAGGCCACACCTCCAGGTGGCTGCCTGCGGCCAGGGCGGGAGATGGGGCGCGGGCAGCATGCGCCAGGGCTTGTTCTGGACACATCACTCCCTCTGGCACTTCAGGGCCCTCCGAGGCCACCCGCGCCGTCACTGTCCACCCCGGGCATCGGGCCTTCCCCTCCTGCAGCATCCCGGCTCCCTCAGGGCCCCGCACTCCTGCGGCTGGCTCGCGCTGGGCGGCTGGGCCTGTGGGCCGGCGAGGCCGCTGTGCCCACGTGAGGCCGGGCCTCCTGCTCGGCGCTGGCCGGCCGCTGGCTCCCCGCTCAGCCCAGAGCGGGCGCTGGAGCTCCCGCGGGGACGCAGCACTGACTCCAGCGGCAGGTGGCTGGTCGCGCCTGGCAGGGCCACAGAGCTGGCTTCCCCGCGCTAGGGCAGGGGAGTGTCCCGGGGAGCGCCGGGCCTGCCCAGCGCCCAGACGGTGCGGGTGCCCCTTCGCCCCCTTCCCGGGGCACGTGCGTCCCGGCCTGCCTGCGGGTGGCCTGCGGGGGTGTGCTGGCCTCTGCCCAGCTGGGGCGGTAGCAGCGGGGTGTCGGCCTGGAGCACAGGCGCCGGCCAGTCTCTGCTGAGTAAGCGCTGCCCTGGGGCTCCCTGGACGCAGGAGGGCGGCAGCGGGCGCGGCTGGGGGGGGGAGTCGGGCGGGGGGGGCGGGGCGTCGGCTCC